AAGAAGACATATATCATACATTAATTAATTTGTAAGAACATCTGAGTTGTAGAGTTTTTTCATTTATAGACATCATATGGTTGATTCAATGTTTTGGTGTCGAATCTATCTTAACTCAATATTTTCGATGAAAAGCATAAATTTCGTGTAAAACCTTATTAAAATGTAGAAAAATAGAGATGAACTTATAATTTTTTTTAAAAGGTTAATATTGCAAATATTAAAGATTTCATCCGAAAAGCTTAAATCATGAATCCGTCCCTATGGTTAATTTTTAAGCACGGTGAATAGAACATGAAAGAAAGAATTATAACCACCTAAAAAAATCATTATAGCAATCCTAGCCAGATGAAATCAAATTTTGGTTGGAAATTAATTTAAAGCAATATATTTGTTATTCTTTTTTTTACAGAAATGATGAATATACTGTTTAATCTAAAATTTGATTAGTAGACTAAAATAATTAAATTTATAAAATTAGGCCGCAAGTATATTTCAAACTTCATATAAATAGATCTCTGTGAATTGAAAGCAAATAATTAAAAATGAGAATAATATGTAAATAATAAAGGAGTAAGAGCTTCTTATGATGTTTAGCTTAAAACTTTGAATTTGTAACTGTTCAGGAATTAATACCGAATCTCGAATATTTTCGAACTGATTAATTTCCTTATATGGACACTTTATGACTGTACCTGAAAAAGGAGTATAACGCCAAAATACCAGGCGCTATATATAAAACTTTATGTATAGCGCCAGGTATTTTGGCGCTATACCTGGGCGTGTCAGCTTTTTCAGTATAGTGCCACAATACTTGGCACTATACATTAACGGCACAGTTAACGTTAATGTATAGCGCCAAGCATTGTGGCACTATACATAAAAATGTCACCCTTTTTTTTATCACCTATTTATGTATTTTGAATCCAAAAGAACCACAATTGGGTTCCGGACTCATTCATTAGCACCAAAACAAATATTGAAAACACATTCACTGCAATTTCGGCTCTGTTAATGGAGAGCTCCAATTGGCCACCAGTCCCTCACTAAATCTAAAGCTAAACATGGTACAATCTTTTGTATTGTTCGTGTAGTTCTGAAACAATGTCCTTTTCTCCATACTAATAAAATGGAAACAAATTATTTGCTGAATTCACTCCATCAGTTAGTCTAGCTATAGTTTCTTTGGAATTGTAAATCTAAGGGCGACTTGACCAACTACTACTCTTATTACTCATCATTACATGCACTCAGTTCCAAGTAGCTATGAACAAATATAAATCATACAAAAGAATTTTGACAACTCGTTTTCAAATATTGACTCCTCTTTCTATATCTTCATATTTTTAATTTGTTTTAGAATTTTCAAAACAAGTTATATGTATGTACACATATAATTTAATCATATGTATATGCAAAACACTTAAATATCTTCGAATTATATGTATGTACACATATCTATCATTACGCTCTAATTTACGCTTATGGTGGCATCACTTTCTCTTTTTAATATCGAAGTCAGTAATTGTAGCTTACTTTTGTATAGTCAAACTTACACAATAATAAAACATGGAATTTATATGTTTTCCCACTGCCGGAACGAAAGAGAGCAAAAAGAAAGCATAAACTTTGGGAAGTTAAATTTTTTATAAATTAACATAAAGTATCTGGTTTCGTGTGGCATATAAGTCATGGGTCCAAGATATGGAAGCAGCCACTAATGGATGCATTAGGGTAAATTGTCTACATTATACTTGTTGAGCTGCGGCTCTTCCCCGTACACTATATGAATGCAGAATGCTTAATGCATCGCAACATTTGTTTTAATTATATATATGCAAAAAGGGTGGCATAAAGTTCAAATTTTGTACTATTATAGAGAAGAGAGAAAAATGACTTTGGAAAACCTATTATCTTCCTCATTATAACGGAAGTTATGGACCAAAGATAAGAGTTTTTCTCCTAAATGCTCTCCAATAGAAAATTCTACTTCTGGCTTAGTATTTTATGGCCTCCTTGCAACCCCCCTGTACTAACCCCCCTCCCCCCTCCCCGAGAGGTACTCAACACCTTCCCACCACACTACCTCACTGCCATTTTCTCTCTCAAACTCTCTCTCTAACACACACACACACAGTATTCCTATCTAAGTTCTATATCATCATCACGAGTCCCTTGCTAGTAACTCTTCCATTTAACCTCACAAAAGAAAAGGCATTCCCTAAACCGGAAAAAAAAAAAAGATGCTTGGACACAGTTATTGAACTAAATTCTATAGTTTTCCTCTTGATCTTGCTAGGTTTGACTGAAGAAGATGGCAGGATTCAAACACAAAAGCTTCATGGCAAGACACATCATGAAGTCGAATAACAACAACAATAATGTTAAAGATTCATCATGGGATTATTATGGAAATGAAAATCATTTCGCTTGGCCTCCAAGATGTTACACATGTAGCTTTTGTAAAAGGGAATTCAGATGTGCCCAAGCTCTTGGCGGACATATGAATGTTCATAGAAGAGATAGAGCTAGGTTATTGAGACACCACTCACCACCTACACATCATCATTCTCTTCTAAACCTTAATCTTGATCCAAACCCTAACCCTAGTTTTTCATCATCCCCACCACCCTCTCCTTTTACTTCCAGATTATCTTTTCCCTCTTATAATGCTGCTGGTGGTTCTGAAATGAGGAGATGGGAAAAGGGTGTTGTTCCAAACAATCCCTTGAAAACTGCCAAAGTAGTTTTTGGAGTTGAGAAACTTGGCTCTTTCATGCAAGAAAATGAATTTCTGAGATTGGACTTGGAAATTGGCAGCTTGGTCACTGAATCAAAGCAAGATTTGGATCTGGAACTTCGATTGGGATACACTTAATTAGTTACATCAAATTTCTACTGCTTTATTGAGGTTTGTAAATTGATTTGAGATAGCTATGGCCCATGGGCAGTAATATAGTTAATCTGCCAAAGGTACTTTAATATTTCTTCACTTTAATATGTCTATTGTGCTAAAAGTTTGTTCTTTTCATTGCTAGCTGTGTCTAGTTTTAGAACCGTGTCAATTAAAAAGAAACCAGAATCTAGATTACTTTAATTGTTTCCCATTCTTTCTTCCTATCTTCTTTCATTTTTATAGCCGTCAACTAATTGTTTTTTAATTATGTTAAATTCATAATGGACTGTACTGCCAATTAAATCTGGTTATTAACTGATTTTTCACTGTAAAACTGAATTAGCTAATTGCTTAATTATACGATATTTTAGAATAATATGGTATGTAAAAACAGATAAGACTCTGCTGCTCTCATATGAGAAAAACTCAAGTTTAAGATACAAACTGACTTCGTACATCATCTGAAAAGGATGCATTTTTTCACATATTGGGTATAAAAACAACGTTGTTTATTGATTCATATATGTTTATGCATTGTTTTGACATAAAATTTAGACCAATGTTCGACAAATAAGGACTAGCTAGCTAGATGTTGTAGATTCAACAAGTGGGTGATCAGCTGTTTTATGCCAATGTTTTAAATATAATATTGTTGGAAAAATAAGACATCATTTTCATTTTCATGACCTTGCAAGAATTTACCAGTGCATGGGCTGCACATGGGAAAACGGTGCATTTATCAGGAAAGTGAATCCACATGAAGTACCATTATTTTTGTTTGAATCACCAGAAAAAAGTTGTTCACTTTGTTGGAAACAAAGACTCAATACTGTTGATTAAAAGAAAAACTGATTTCTCCACATTGTGAGAGTTTCTCTTTTCATTCATCTTCTAGATTTTTTTTTTCTTTTTCTTTTTCCCTTTGTGTGTTTTACAAGTAGTACTGGATATCGTAGACATCAATATAATAATCAGCCATTGCTACAAATATTGTTCTGCTTGTACTTTTAGGGGTCGTGTGGTATGATGGATAAGCAAAAATAATTTTGGGATAAGAATTTAGTCCGTCTTTCCCTTTGTTTGATTACTACTCCTAGGATAAGTTATTCAAGGATTAAAAAGAGTACCGGGATAACTTATACTTGCCAGAGGTGGAATAATAATCTCAGGATAAAGCAGTAAAATTGACAATCCCATGATTAATACAATATACCAAACAGTAAATAAGAAATAATACCAAGATAACTAATTTCATTATAACTAATCCAAGCATAAATCATCCCAGCATAACTTGTCTTCACACCAAATGACCCGGCCCTAGGGATGATAAGCATGGTTTTTAATAACATGCACTAATATTTACTGGCAACTTGAGAAACAAACAGGTGAGAAGATGTTTATTGTACTTGAAAATTAAGATGCCAATGTTTATCATATGGGCTGAATTAAGTTTTTGATCGAGGTTGCGAGATATAAAGAGAGTATACATAAAACAAGGAACCAGGAAGCTTTTCCTCTAGGGTGTTATTCCTTACTGACAGAGTGAGCTAGCAGCTGGCAAGTATTACAAGTTTTCAAAAAGTATGAACAAATTGATACCCTTTATGTGTTTCTTGCCTTTTACAAAAATTCATGTAGCGCACATGAGGACCAAACAATAATAATGGTATTGTACTTTGCTATTTCCTTAAAGTTGTTAGAGTTTAAATTGAGGAATCACAATTCCATCTGTTCAGGTACGACAAGCAGCTGCCCACATGCAATATAATTGAAGTCCTTTGTCTAATTATCCTAATTTTTTCACACACACATATTATGCGTGTATCTTCCTAACTATTGTTATCAATACCATGTTAAATCTAAAGCAACTTCTAAAAATACATTCCTTCTTTCAAGAGAAATTCACGGCATGTCAAGTCCTATTAAAGTTCTACGTTTTACCTCAAATTAAACCACATGTTTTACTGCTTGTGCCAGTCCGTCAATTCCATGGATGTTATCCTTGCGAAAGGAAGAATACTTAACGTGTGAACTATATATAGTACTGCATGGGTCGATATGCATAGTGTATGCATGTCTCTCTCTTGTATATATTTTTGAGTCCCACATCGACAATGAAGGGAGTGAATGGATTCCTTATATGGACTTAAATAGGGGTGTGCATTCGAATCGGTTTATCGATAAACCGAATCGATTATTTGTTATCGGTTTATCGATATCGGTTTATCGATTCATCGATTTCGATTTCGAAATTTTCCTTATCGAGTTATCGATTTCGATTTCGATTTTGTCCTCTTCGGTTATCGGTTTATCGATAAACCGATAAGATATAATTTTTTTTTAATCCTTATTCTATAATACCCTTTCCTTTACCCTAAGTCCCTAACCCTATTATTTCCTCTACCACATTTAAGGAATGATCATATTTAAAGCTCAAGGGAATGAAGTTCAAATTAATGGAAAACAGAATTAGCTGTGATGATGTAATTTTTTTTTATTCCGTTGGAGTGTTGGTGGCATACATTTGATCCCTTACTTTAGTTTCGTTGCATGTGCTTGTTGACACAATTTTTATGTTATAAACAATGTTCGTCTTATTTTTAGCTTCTTTTTGTCCATATTAGTTAGGCGTGTTTATAGCGATATACTTTTCGTGGAATCCCGCAAGTTTTCTTATTGGTGTAATCGATAACCGAATCGATAAGCCCCAAAAATCGATAAATCGAAATCGAAAAAATCGAAACCTTATTGAAACGATAACGATAAGCATATGTACAAATCAATAATCGATAAGTAATTATCGATAAGGGTCAAAATCAAATCGATAAATCGAATGCACACCCCTAGACTTGAACAATTCTCGTCTCATAAGCTAATTACTTTTAGGGTTGAGTTAGGCCAAATATATATCCATACTTTAATATGTATGTAAATTAATAGAGTTGGTGGAAGGGAAGTAGGAGATCTAGGGGGAAATTAGTCAATGATATAGAGTGGGTAATTAGATGCTTTTTCTCAAAATGTGATAGTTTGCTTGTTCACGACAAGGATTGGGTGTCAAAAGCATGATGACGTTTCCTGAAAAAGAAGGGGAGTTGTTTTGGTCAGTTTCTTCAAAACATGACAAAAGAATTGAAAGGAAACCCATAGCTTTCCTGAATTAGTTAAAAGGGCACTTGCATTACTTACACATATCAGACATGCCCAATTCACCTTTTAACCTCAATTATCACACTCTAAATCCAACATTGATTGTCCTTTCATTTTGTGAAGCCTAGAGAGTCTTCAATCAGCAAAATCTCGTAATATGTTGGAGAATAATAATATTATTACTTTGTTTTCCATTCTACCCCTTGCCAGTTGCTCCACCTACCTTTCTCATCCTTAATCTGTAGAAAAGTAATATTACTCCCTCAGTTTTAATTTACTTCGCCCGTTTCAATTTATCTGTCTTAGTACGACTGTACGAAGTTTAAGACTTATAAATCTTGTTGTCTTAATATGTCTAATGTACCAAAATGCCCTAGAATCTTATGTTCTTAAATATGTCAGGTGAAAAGTTAGAGTTAAAGAGTTACTAAATATAGAAAGAGATAATTTTTTCGAAACGTACTAAAAAAGAAAGTAAGACACAAAACAGAAAAAGTGTTTACCTTGAAAATGGTAAGTACAATTAGATTTGATTTTGTGGTTCTAAAAATACGTGATTTATTTTTATGCTAATTGTTAGGCAATAGATGCTAAGCGTGAGACTAGAAAATAAGGTAAAAGCTTGAAGATAGTATGCTGTGCGAACCGAGTGATCGAGAATCGGGGTCTCGAGCTATCCTATGCTGGGCCTCGAGGTTAAGCTGATGAGCTCGACTGGAGATGGTCGATGAAGGACTAACAGTTCTCTAAGAGCTTTGATGAGTGCTCTTTATGATCAAACGATGAGTAATAAATGAAGAACAATCAATGAAACACAATAAATGTAAGCAATGTAATAAATATAAGAAATAAACTCAAGGGAGAATATGTTTAAGTTAGAGAGCAGAGAATGCTCTTGTTCTTGTATTGAATATCATGTTTTTTTTTACAAAATGATAAGGGTCTCCTTTATATAGGAGGGGGAATCCCAACATGGTACATGTGCAATTATTACAAAGAAACGTAGCCGGTACAGCTATTTACTAGTCTAGTACAGACTAGTACTACTCTTGCAGGTATTGTCAAGCTTTGGTCACGTGCCTTGGGAACCTCCCGCTTGTCTATGGTAGTCACCGATTTGTGCTACCCCGATGTCAAGCTAAGAAACCCTCGGGACTGAACCTCGAGCTCTGCCTTCGGGCCCTCCAGGTAAAGTTACGAAATGTCGCAATAATCAAATAATCGGACTCTTCGATTTTAGCCACATACAGATAGACCCCGCGTTTCTTAGAGTAAAATGATAAGAAATGATCTTGAATTGCCTCTTCGATACTTCCACCACGATGTTAGTTACGCCCTATCAAGCAATTGACGTGACAAGCAGGGCATCTAAAGGTCGCGTCCGTACAGCCCTTGAAAAGCCTTTGAATTAATTACAGCGGTCAGTTATCTTTGGCCCGCTCCAACGTACACGTTTGGCCTCTATAAATACTTCTGCCTTCGCCCCTTATTTTCCACTGCATCATCAAAACTTTAAAAGAGTTCTTCTTACTTCTCTCTTGTGCTCTCTTCTGATTATAATTTCATTTCTCCTTTGAAATATTTTAACAAGCATGTCGAAAACTTCCACCTCTATCCCTCAGGAAGATGTGCCTTCCTCTTCCTCACGCTTGTCTAAGGGCAAAGCGACAGTACCCCCTCGTGTCGGGGAATGCATTCCAGGAGCCTTTGAAACGACCTCCGATTTCAAGACCGACAAACCTTCTTCGAAGCCGAGACGATGTGAACCTGTGTCCCGATATATTAGTTTAATAACAAATGCCGAAAAGGTGAAGACCGACTGCCGCTGGGGG